AAGAGAGATTCCTCCATCAGCTCTGTTTAGCATGGATATGAAAAGTGAGTGATTTGTTCTCATTGAAGTAGCATGGCTAGCTTTAGAAGAAGCCGAAAGCTGACTCGGACCACCAGGCTCCACTTATAACTAAAATATTACCTTTGGCTGGTATGTCCCTTTTTAAATTGTGTGTAGGGGTTGATGGATGTCTTATTAATAAATTCTGTCACTTATCATGAAGAACAACCCCGGGACATTCTTGTACCATGTACATTGCATGTGTTTTTATTTTACATTACAAATCTGTTTGCCTGCATACAGTAAAGAATATATGTTGTTCCTGCTGATCTGGCACTGAAATACTCATTTGTCACAGTGTTCTAATGACTCGCATGCAGGTCACGTGACTAACGTGATCGACTGGCCAAGCAGGTTCTATGACTTATGTCCTGTAATGTATCCCTATTCATTTACTGATTACCTGGCTAAATGTCCTTCCATGCATTCATCTTTCCTTCCCTCCTTCTACACATCTTTCCTTCCCTCCTTCTACACATCTTTCCTTCCCTCCTTCTACACATCTTTCCTTCCCTCCCTTCTACACATCTTTCCTTCCCTCCCTTCTACACATCTATCTTTCCTTTCTTACATCTCTGAAACCCTTCTTCCTTCCTTACATCTGCCCGTCCCTTCTTCCCTCCACACATCTGTCCACACCTTTTACAGGCAGTGTAACTAAAGCCAGCATTTTATTTTTGGGTCAAGTATGGAAGGATTAGAACGTTTGTCAGGTTTTCATTGCTATCCGTGTCTGATAATCTGGGGAGATTCCTCCTCTCTATTTGTCCTAGTGATCATTCTACTGAGACTGAAAATGAGGAAAAGTTGTCACCTAAACAGGAACAGGGGGCAGTTTACCAATGGGGACATTTGTTCCTGTAACAACTGTGTAATAGAAGATGATTTCCCTTACCTTGGAGGAATCTCTTTTCACTTCCTGGTGCACCTCGAGACAGTTAGTGATGGGAAGATATCCCTAATGGTACATTTTAACAGGAGCTTAACCATTCCCTATTCTATCAAAGTTTTTGGTCTTCGGTAAACATTTTAGTTTCTGCTACCCAAGGTTCACTAGTTTCTCTAAGTTATTAGATTGCACCTTTTAATATCTAACTTGGTTGCTATTGGCAATACCGCATCTTGCCTCTGTGCTACTTTTCTAAAGACCTGCACCCCCTCCCCCCATTATTTGATGCGTCCTCGCAAATCATGTACAATTCTAAAGTACATGTTCATTTATAAGGTCCTGTCAAAGTCTTTGAGCATAAGATGTTAAATTCAACACTCGGATCCTATAATACTTCAGCGAGGTGCTGAGACAAACAAGCGCAGTAGTGATACACACTGTCAGTCCGAGGCATGGAGGCAGTCGACGAAAATGTAGTGCTGGGTGTATTCCGGAGGCTATCGCTGTCCGGGTCGTCCTGGGCCAGACGAGACAGTCTAACGGCCCCATTCGTGTGTCTCTTCAACAAAACTGTAGAGGAGAGCTCTGCCAACATCAAAGAGATTTCAGAGAGCCTTTCCCTTTTCCTGAGCCGTCTCTTTTCTCCAGACCCCAGGCTGTACCAGGAGTTTACCGAGCGGGGGCTCATCTCGAACAGCCCGGAGTCCGACGACGACCTACTGGAAGACAACACTACCCCAGCCGTGCCACGTCCAGATGATGGCATCGTGGTGAAAAACTACCGTCCAGCCCAGCTCATCTGGAGCCAGCTTCCACAGGTTGGTGTGTCTTTTGTTTGGTGTTTTGAGTGTCTGTGGGAAACTAAATGGGCCTGCAGATGTTTCATGAACATTCACCCAACTTGGCCTTTAACAGTTAGTTTGGAGAATGTTTGTGTTTCTAGGCCTCGCATGTCTACGTCAGACAGGGTTCCCAGGAGGAAAGTTGACTGGCTGGGTTTGATTTTGTTTCTGGGTAATCTCTATTGTTTGTCCCCTAAGGAATGTCAGCATCCAAAATGTCTAAGCATTTCCTTTGCCTTCTCCATAAGCACAAACGTGCACATTCACCCAATGCTAATGTACATGATTGTAGATTATTGGTGTTTGGATTATGCATGCTTGATTGGCCAGCACCCAGAGTCTATAGACATGCCTATGAATGGCACCATGCTTATAAAATCCAAGTGGCTGCCTTGGGGACGTGTCAGATGTCCTAGTACACAGAGAGACATCACCTTCTCTTTCAGGCTTCAAGAGACCCTGTCCCTTGAAAATCCCTGACCCATTCATACTCTCATATCCCACTCTCTCTGGTCATTCCATTTCTCTGTCATTGCACTGAGCCCTAACCCTGTGTAAGCTCCTCGTTGGATGGTTGATGGAGCATGGGGAAGGTTACTGAAAGCAGGTTGGGGAGGGCTTTTTCAGACACCCCTGCCCTGAATGATGGTCTTTTTTTATAACAATTCTGGCTTTTATTAAATATTTGTTAAACAGATTTGTTTTTCCATGATTAACTGGTACCAACTTGCCAGAGATAAATGTATGTTGCAGTTATTATGGGACTTGTAGCTATGACTGACAACAACAAGGAAGGCATCTGCTCTACCTTACTCTTAGCTCAGTGTCGTTAAAGGAGGAGCCATTTATTATTTATACGGTGGGCTACACTTGTGTGGTCACTGGAGTAACAGATCACAAACTGCTAAACGCTGTGACTAATGTTTAACTAAGCCCATCCCACGGTGATTCCAGCCAGGTTAGGAAATGGAATGCATGTTTGGAGTGTACTCTGGTGCCTTCCTGGTTCTGTCCTGTAGGAATATGCACTGTAGCGAAACATATGCAGTTTGTGTTTTGTTACTCCATTAAAGCCGAGCTCCAGGCAGATTTAGGAGTACAGCAACCCGGTGGTGTGAACCGAGCCCATCTATGACCAGGCAATTTGCCATGTCTTGCGTTCGGGCTGCCCTGGAATAAACAGCCAGTGCAGCCTGAACACGGATAGTGTGAACCGGCCCTCTGGTCATTCTGAGCCTGATGAAGGGGACCCTGTGTGGCCCCAAGAGCGCTTATACTGGAATGACAGTACTCCACTAATAAATGGACATTTGTTGATTTCACTTAAATGGTGTGCTGGTGACATCCTTTTGCAAACCGGCCCTCAAAGAGACAAAGCAATGAATCTCTTTATGTGCTGAAAAATGCAGCTCAAGGGACCTAGTATGGACCAGTCCAAAATCTCCTGTCGTGGCCGGGGAGAAGTAAAAATCCTTTGGCAAGTAAAACCGCTCCCTTATATGTATTGCATTTGTTTATTTTGCTGCTTGTCCGGAGCTTACTGAAACTTAAACAGCTAGTTATACCAGATGCATTCATTGGTGCTCCCGGTCTTGGTCTGAGGTTACAGTGCAGACCGCTGACCCTAAACGTAAACAAAACAACGTTTACACTGGCTTAGACCATGCTGGCTCTCAGAGCAGGAAGAAAACACAGAAGTTGTATTTGCAAAGTGACTTGGTCTCCCTAAAGAGCGTGCTTTTAAAGGTACAGTTATCCTTTAACATATGCTCAGTATATCTTCAGTGTACTTTACATGCCCTATAAAAAGATACAACTTCATTATTATTATACAGGATTTATATAGCGCCAACAGTGTGTGCAGCGCTTTACAATATAGGGAGGACATTACAATCACAAGACAAAGATGGCAAGGAGGGCCCTGCCCCTGAGGGCTTACAATCTAAAAAGGAGAGGGGAAGTGATAAATTCATTATTTTTTTTTTCCCCAGCATGCACTTTCATTTCCCGCAATGCACATGATGGGTGCATTACAAATCAACCTTGTGCTTCCAGTATGTTCACATGGAGTTGTCATTTTTCAGGCATTTACTAAAGCAGGCAGCAACATTGGAAACATATTTTTAGAAGTGTTACAATGTAATGTGATGTAAGGGGAAACATCCGGGAACCTCAGCCGTGTACTCGTCATCTGCCTCTGGTATATTATGGCTTGACGTGTCACCTGACGTGTCACCTATTAACCCAGCAGCCGTGTAATCTGTGGCCACTCGGTGACTCAGCTATAGAGTGCTGGACTTGTACATGATATTCTAGGCGTTAGGCGAGATAAGAATCTGTGGCTGAGCTCAGTGTTATTGCAGGAAGTATGTTGTGTTATTACAGGTAAATATATTGTGTAACCTTGTATACCTGCCTGCTCACCTGTGTTGTGTCTCAACCTGTCACTGCCCTTCTGATTGTCAATGATGGGGTGTCTCCTTTAAGGCTTGAGCAGGCCAGTGTATTATCTAGATCGGGTCTCCAGACAAGTATTGTGTCCAGGATGCTGAAAAGTTTCAACTTTTAAAACTTCCGATGTTCTTTTGATCCCAAACACACAATTATCATGTGAAACAGAATCAGATCACCAATTATTATTTCTATTATAAGATATTATTAATTTCATAGGTACAAGAATCTGGCATTCTGGATAGCATCACACCGGAGGAACGCAAAAGACAAGAGGTATATTATATTTATTAGGGATGCACCGATACCAAGTACCGTACTCGTTACAAGTACAGATACATTTCCAGCTCCAAGACCAGACTAGAGAAAAATACAAAAGTTAGGAGGCCGCTGTCATTTGTAAGGAGCACACGGAGCTCCTGGGATTTGTACATCTCTGTTATAATGTATGATTTTGTTTTTATAAATAAAGGGAAGCACCGATACAGTTTTACAAGTACTGATATTCTTCCAAGTACTCACAGATACAAGAACTGATACTTGCCCAAGTACTCACAGATACAAGTACTGATACATTTTTGTTTGTCATGTGACAGTTTTTCGAAACAATACAGACTAATGATTTCAGGACAGTGGTGGAGCGCCAGAGCCCGGTCCCAGCTGCAACCGCTGCAACCCTGGTAGTTCTCATGAAAACGCAAAGTACCGGCTCTGGTATCGGTGCATCCCATATTTGTATACACGTAGGCAGCCTAAGGTCATGCATGGTTATTGTGACTTAATATTCCTGTTAATCATTCTTCATTTGTTAGAAGTCCTTCCAGTTTGGTTATTGCTATCTGACGCACTTCGTGTCCAGTGGGAGGGAACCATCAGTAAATGATCTGTCCCTTTTTTAATGACTATTTTATTACCAAATCCCCTCTTGGACAGTTGTCATCAGAACTAGTGTAACCATCGGAAGATTTTCCCTCCTATTCGTGGTGACAACTGTAACATTTTGCATTTCCTATCACTTCCTGTCCCGGTGACAATGGTTACCTAGAAAAATGGTGAAGTGGATCCCACCAGCCGGGACAAACGAGTAAAAACCTGGAACAAGTAGAATTGAGGTGCTGGATTCAGATTATCGGAAGATAGTTTAGATTGTTGATAAGGCGCAGTGGCTTTGGTAAAGTTGAGTAAAATTTGGTTTGAGAACATTTATTTTTGAACCGATTTTTCTAAATTTTCTGATTTTTAATATTCTATTTCTTGAATGAATGGAGTTTCCCCAAATAAAAACCACATTCAATGTTCGAATCTCATACACTTGAAAAGTTTTACATCCCACTCCTTTTTTTTTAAATCACTATGGTAGAAAACGATTGTGAGTTTGGCCCCAATAATTATATCCACAATCGTTTTCTACCATAGTGATGAAAAAATAAAAAAAAGGAGTGGGATGGAAAACTTTTCTCGAGTGAACAAGATTCGAACATTGAATGTGGTTTTTATTTGGGGAAACTCCATTCATTCAAGAAATAGAATATTAAAATCAGACGAAATTCGAACAATCTTCATCAAGTCTCTGATGGAATTCTCGAATGTTCTTTCAACGATCGTACACAAATCTACCAGTGTATGACCAGCTTAAAGGAGAACTATGAGGTGATTGCTTTTCACTCACGCTGACTGGTGGAACGGACGGGGGAGGGGGCGGGTACAGCTGGCTCTGCCTGTAGATAGGCAGAGCCAGGTGTCAGTCACGCAGCTGGGCGGATCCCGACACTATTGTCGGGATCCGCTTCAGCTGCGGCGTCTCAGTATACAGCAAGCTACAGCCTAGCGTCCTCCCGTTACCCTAAGGAGAACTATGGGGAAAAGCCTTAACCCCATAGTTCTCTAAGGCTCCTCTCAACAGAAACCGGGTGTCTCTCAAACAGAGGGCTCAGATATGGAGATTCATGTGTACAAAGTCCAATGAGAGCACCAAACAAAAGGTCTGAGAATCCAGATACATTTCTAATGTTGATTATTATTATTATTATTATTATTGATGATGATAATATTTTTTAAACATCTTTCATTTCAAGCCAGATTTATTATTATTAATGAATACTTTTTGTTAGATTTTTATATAATTTTGGCATTTTCTTTTTAGAATTTCTATTTACAATTTTATATATTTGTTGATATCAGATAAACGTCTGTTTTTTTTTGTTTCTGAACGAATTTCAATATTAAAAGCTTTGGGACTTATCAGTAAAAACCTGACATGAGGTTTAATCCTTCCTTGCCCTCCATTTAAAAAAATTAAAAAGTGTGGGCTTTAGATACACTAAACAGAGCAGTGTGTTTGCACTGAGCCTCTGACAGCTCCCTCTAGTGGTTAACCTCAATTTATTTAATTTTTTTTTTCATACCATAACACAAATAGAAGAGAAACATGCCAAAAATAAGTCAAATAAACAAAATTGATGGTGGCACATGAGGTTATTTTGAGCTCTCTTCTCTTTGCAGGCCATCTTTGAAATCATCACATCGGAGTATTCCTACCAGCACAGCTTGGACGTCCTTGTCCGTCTCTTCAAGAAATCCGATGAGCTAAAACCGACAATCAATGGCACCGACCACCACCACCTCTTCTCCAACGTTGTTGATATACTGGAAGCCAGTAAGAGGTAATCTCACTCTCATTACTGCGCTTGCTGTCTGTGCTTGACTGAGGGCCAATGGAAATGATGGAATAATATCAAATGGGTGGAGCCTCATTTCTGCAATTGCAGTAATTGGCAGATCACAGGAGAGGCGGAGACTAAACCAGTCACCCTGCACAAGGGCAGAAAGCAGCAGTGACCGGTCTTTATTACAGGAGGGTGTGGAGGCAATACCGGTCACCCTGCACAAGGAGAGAGAGCAGCAGTGACTGGTCTTTATTACAGGAAGTTCCTCACACTGGATTTCTGCACAGATCTGGAAGAAATACACAAAGCTCACTAGAAGAAGAACACACATGACTCTTGTATTTAGAGGATATTTGCTCATTGCGGAGTTTGGCTGATGGTTATTGCATACATTCCAGCGGTCGGCCTATTTCCACATGTGCTCAGTGATGGGCTATTCTATGGGAAATCTCTCTTGGTCAGTGATAATGGAATCCAGACAACTGGTTCCTTCCCAAGCAGGGCCCGGCCCAGTGAAGACAGAACCCCGGGGAGAGGAGGCCCATCACACAATGAAAGCATTAGGGGGATAAAAGGAAACCTCTTCACTCTCCGGTTGGGGAGGGACGGACCCGCTAAACTCAATTAACTCCTAATAAATAGGGCTTTGTCTTTTGATTTATGACAACAGATGTACAATTCTGGCCGTCACTGTACATACATCTTAGACCTTTTATGATCTATAGAGAAATTTAAAGACTAACTAAACCCAATCATGAAACCCTTTCATAAGATTCTAAAATGTCAATGTCTTTTTTTCAGTATTCTTAAATCTGCAGCTTTCCTTTAAAATCCCTGGTGATCCTGCCATGTAGGTCCTTGTTCAGGCACTTCCTGTTAGGGTGACAACGCTCTGTGCCTGTCTCTAAATTAATTGAGGTGACAAGTTGGCTGTTTTATCACACATTACACAGGCATGGTCTACTGTCATCACCATCAGGAAACCAGTGCCAGTGGGTAGCTCGAATGCCAGGTAACACATTTGTGTATTCACCACTTTTTGCTGAGAAGTGTAATGAAGCCATTGGATCAGCTGGGCAGCCTATATATTCTTTCACTTTTGGTTTCCTTTTACCTACAAATCAATAGGTCCTCGTGTGTTCCGGATGGTAGACATTATCTGTGTGTCACAATGGGGCACAGTCATCTCTCTCTTTGTATGAAATTGTAAATGTATTTTCAGTGGAGGAAATTCCTCCAGGGTTTCTCTCTCCGCATAAGATACAATGTGGTATTGTGCAATAGTATAAGAACTGTGCAGTCACAGGATGTACTTTTATGAGCTGCTGTAAATTAAAAAGAACTCTTAAAGATCCACTCTAATCACCACTGAAAATGAAACCTTGAAATGTGAACCTACAGGGACAACCTAACCTGATGGAAGCTCCCCAGTGATTACTTGTTTTAGCATCTCTGATAATACAGGAATGGGATATGATGTTTGTGAATGTTATATATTACCTTCCTGTAACTGGACTGGATATTGACCGATCAATTGTCCCCGGTGGGCAAGGTCCAAGTGTTGCTTGTTGACTTGGATGATGAGTGATCACAGGGTGCCCATGAGATGCTGGATTGGTATCTAGAGAGGCTTTGAGCTTCAGTTTTCATTCTGATGAGCACCATTTTTGTTCCACAGGCTCATTTTTTTCCGGACAAGCGGTCTCAGTCGTTGCCTCCGCGCTCTCAGTCGTTGCCTCCGCGCTCTCAGTCGTTGCCTCCGCGCTCTCAGTCGTTGCCTCCGCGCTCTCAGTCGTTGCCTCCGCGCTCTCAGTCGTTGCCTCCGCGCTCTCAGTCTTCATCCTGTGGCTGTGGAACACAAATCTGTGGCTCGGAACTGATAATAAATGCAGATTACTCTCTTAGCCTTCATGCGATATGCTCAGTAATATGTATTTCCTTAGTTGGAGTTTCGGGGATCGCACAGCCCTATGTTGCAGCCTGACTTTTGTCAGTTCCTTGTCATTTGCTCTTCGTTTGATCGCATTCCTTCCAAGTTACAGAGCTGCGACCTCCTGGGTCATCGGCCATTTTGTCCGGATGTCCCATCTTGTCCCAATCACTGGATTCTGTCTTGTATTGAGCTTTGCCACATGCTGAGTAGGGGTGACGGACCGACCATGCAGATGAGTTAATATCTCTTTCCCCTCGGGCTGCTGTCCAGGAACGACAATTGGAAATTTACTTTTATTTTTAAAGGCCCCTGTAACCACTTCCTCCCATATGTGAAAATCTGTGTTAAAGCCCCACCAGGACCAAACACAGCAAAAGCTATATATATATATATATATATTACTGTCTGTCTGTCATTTTACTGCAATCACTTATCACTTGGCTTGTATGATCAAAGACTGCTGAGACAAAACCTCAACCAGATACAGCGCAATGTGTTCAGCCTGTCACAGCAGACTGATGGAGAGAGGAGCAGCAAGGCACAACCATTGTACAGAAGGACTAACCAGCAGGCAGGACCATAATGGACTGAGCAAAGATTGCTGTCCACATGTACATATGTAATACATACTAACCTACAAGAATAAGATTGAACGTTTAAGAGGTGGATTTATCAAAACTGAAGCAGACAGAACCCGGAGCAGTTGCCCATAGCAACCAAGTAGCTTCTGTCTTTCCTTTTCAAAGCTCTGCTGAACAAACTGAAGACGGATGCTGATTGGTTGCCATGGGCAACTGCTCCAGATTCTCTGCTCCAGTTTTGATTAAATTCCCCCCTAAGAATGGAAGCATATGACTTTGACATGTCGTTACAAAACAAATACATGAAAGGCTTACATTTTTTTCCCAGATGATTTTTTTGCATCTGCGTTTTTTAGTATTGTTTTTCTTCCTCGCTTATCTTTTTCTTTTTCTTTTCATCTTCTTTTTTCTTTACTGTATATTTCTCCTTTTTGCCGTTTTTCCTTCCCCATTCACTTCTTTCTTCTTTTTTTTCTTTCTCTTTTTCTTTTCATCTCTATCCTCCTTCTCCTTCTTTCTCTATCCTCCTTCTTTCTCTATCCTCCTTCTTTCTCTATCCTCCTTCTTTCTCTATCCTCCTTCTTTCTCTATCCTCCTCTTCTTCCTTTTCTCTATCCTCCTCTTCTTCCTTTTCTCTATCCTCCTCCTTCTTCTTTCCTCCTGTCCTCCTCTTCTTCTTCTTCTTCTTCTTCTTCTTCTTCTTCCTCCTCCTGTCCTCCTGTCCTCCTGTCCTCCTGTCCTCCTCCTCCTCCTCCTCCTCCTTCTTCTTTCCTCTTGTCCTCCTCCTCCTCCTTCTTCTTTCCTCTTGTCCTCCTCCTCCTCCTTCTTCTTTCCTCTTGTTCTCCTTCTTCTTTCCTCCTGTCCTTTTGTCCTCCTTCTCTTCCTTTTCTCTTTCCTCCTCCTCTTCTTCTTTCCTCTTTCTGGAAATTGGACAGAGCAGAGTAATCCTGCCTCTTACCAGCAGATATGGCCGTGCCTTATTACATCAATTGGTGTTGGTTAGGGAGCCATTTAGATGCCACAAAGAAAAGAAAAAAACCAGACAAACATTGAGTTGAGACTTCAGGGGAAATATCTGTGTGCGTTAGGAAATGGCGTCTCATCAAGTTATAGAAACAGCCTCACCTCCAGGTTCCGTTATCTAGATTTTTGTTTTGTGCCCGGAGACCCACTATACCTGGGGCACTCTTATTATAGGTAAAGTTGTAGTCTGGTTCATCACCTCCTGTGCACACCAGTTGGTCCATAAGCTGATGGCCGTACTTTGGAACCATTAGCTAGTGGCAGCACGGGGGTATCCCGGCCTCAGACTTTGTATCCCGAGGTCAACATTCAATTATCTTATTGTTTTGAGTTTTGGGGCTCCAGGAAGGTGTTGAGAGGTACTCGCAGCGGCTGTTCATGAGTAAGACAGCTTTGCATATTTATGTATGTCGGCCGTAAAGCATGGAGGACTTTTTTAAATTAAATGTATTTATTTTTTTACAAAACTTCTCGGTAACATTTGCAGGTACTATTAGGTAACATTTGTGGCTTTTTTTTCCCTTCTCTTTCCAGATTTTTTGATGACTTGGAGATGCGGCACAAGGACAATGCTTTCATCAACGACATCAGTGACATTGTGGAGAACCATGCACTGAACCACTTTCAGCCGTACGTCATATACTGCTCCAACGAAGTGTACCAGCAGAGGACCCTCCAGAGGCTGCTGTAAGTGGGGGCACCCTACAACCCAAAGTCTCCAGGCCTCACTTGTCATGGCGACAAGTGCCTTGCCACGGACAAGTGCCCGTGCCTTGTAAAGGCACAGGCTTAAAATGATGCCTGCTGGGAAATGTTTGTTAGCAGAGACTTCCCTGGGCCATATCCGCATTACACCAGATCTGCTTTAGCCACTGGGACTGCCTTATCATTGGAACCCCTGATAACCGCTGATTGGCTGAAATTCCAAACAGAGGAATCTGATTGGCCTGTATCTGGGCAAGTAGAGAGGTTTATATTAAAAGAAAACACCTCTAAAGGGAACCTGTCACTGTTTGAACTGGTGACCTTGAACAAGTATGCCGATCAGGAGTTCTGGCCTTACGGAGGTGTTCTGTAGTCCACCAGGGAAAAAGTCGGGGCTGACAACACTGCCTAGTATTTCAGTGCAGCAGAGGCAGCATTGTCGGCACACTACAATAAAAAGTAGGAGCTCACTGGATTTCTGGCAGGATCAGTGGGTATTTTTAAAGATATTCTGAATTTCTATTTTCTGCTCAGACATACCCTTTAAGCTTCCTGTATCCTAAAATGGTTGGTAACTAAGAGCAAGTGGCTGCCCACCAAGCTGCAATGAATTTCGGCAGTTCTGATGGGGGGGCTTTACATTTCTGTAAGCTGTGTCGCTGTCATTTTCAGATCCACGAACGCGGCCTTTAAGGAAACGCTGACCCAGATCCAGATGAAGCCGGAGTGCGGAGGTCTGCCAATGATTTCTTTTCTCATTCTTCCCATGCAGAGGGTCACTCGGCTCCCTCTGCTGATGGATGTGAGTATTGCAGCCACTTGTTCAAATTCTGCAGCATTGTATTCCAGCATAACTTCTACTTCACTGAGACTTGTGGGGTGATTGAGTCAGTTGAAGCATGATGCACATACGTCAGTAAAGCAAATTGATTTCTTTTTGGGCCTGATTTTATTCAATAAGCCCCTTGTGCTTTTTTTTTACATCGTGCAATTTGGCAGCGGCATCGTTAAAATATCTATAACTTCAATAACAAAAATCACATATAGTGCAGCTTACAAGTCTTTAGATATAGTGGCTGCATTCGTTTTCTGTTTTCAAGCGAAGAACATTTTCTGCAAGTACAAAAAAAAAACCTGTTCATCCAGCAGTAAACATTGCACCCTTGTAATGATATTGTAAAGCGCTGTGCAAACTGTTGCCACTATCTACAGTAAATCCTTTTTATAATAATAATTCCTTTTTTGAGATTCCAGTTCAGTGCAATGTTATCAGCCTTCCCAGTTATCCTCTGTAAACTATCAAACAACTCCACTCTATGGAGGCGGGGAGAGATGTTTTGTAGTCCAAATCAGTAACGCAGTCTAGGGTGATGAATAAGATACAGTAAGTGTGTGTTGTCACCTGAGGACAGGAAGTGTGTTCCTGACAAAATTGATGCAGTATGGTGAGTGAATGTTTTCACCCAAAGGCAGGAACTGTGTTACTGGCAGGACCACAAGGTAAAAATGAGGAAAATGAATGCAGCCACCACATCTAAAGAATGGAAAGCCGCAATATGACATATTTTTTTATTTATTTTGGGTTTAGTCACTTTAAGGGCCATCAAGCTCCTGGGCAAGATCGGTACTTTCCAGGCTGTCCCTTTTTAATGAGGCAGCCAGAGGCTGTTGCCTCAGGCCGTATCTCTTTGGGTCATGTGGTGGGGCAGCTGGCAGAGCAGCATGGTCACTGTGCAATGTTTGCAGTGTTCCTGCTGCCCCCAGAGCATCCAAGGTTGGGGTCGCTGGGCAGGGATAGTTGTAAGGGCCTTACATCTCTCCCCACCCAGCTCTTAGCAACCTGGGACGCTCTGGCCGGGGTCCAGTCATTGATGTCACTGGTAGCCAGGAGCTGGGTGAGATGCCAGAGCTGGTCGCGGAGAAGATGCAGAGGACACCCCCAAGTTAAAAGGACAGCATGCCAGGATACAGCGCTACACTTGAGGGGTTAAATTGGAGATATGTTGAGTTTCCTTGTACGGTTTGAGCAGCTTCAAAAGCGTATGGACCGGGGTGTCCAACCGAAGAGTAAGTTAAACAGAGAAGGGAAGGGAGAAGCGCTGCAAGCCGAGTAGGGAACAGGGCGATTTTTCGCTGAACCTTGTAAGGGGGGGGAGGGGGGGCTGGAAAACTGGGAGCTAATATAAGTTCCCAAACTTCCGTGGTTAGTCCAATTAGTTCGAGTGTGGTCCCAAAAATAAAAAACATCAAATTGTGGAGGTAGATGAAATGGCGTGTACAAAAAGAGAAAAACAGAAAAAATCTAGGGACTTACCCTTAGGTAAAAGATATTACGTGGTCATCGACGGAGGGTGGAGTTTGATGATGCTGGTGTCGCACGGGTTCCAGTTTGCCAGGAGTGATGTCTGTTCTCCAAAATCTTGTAAACGGAAGTTGGCGAGGAGGT